TACAGATCAGTAATAATCTGTAATCCTAAAACCTGCACACCTTCATCTCTATTTGCAAATACACCGTGGATGCCTAAAGAAATGTATATACATTTTGGGAGGTTGGGAAGATGGCAGCCGGCCAGTGGAATTATGCAAGCCCCCGAGTGAGTGAGTGGACGGAAAATTTTGTGTACGTTCTGATGAGCAAGTGGGCGTGTGAGAGGCTGACTGAGCGAGAGCTATGGAGCTAGCAGCCAGGGCACTCCTGGTGCAGTGGTGGTGCCACAGCTACTGGGCTTGGACCCTAGCGACTGGCGGGATGCAGAAGCTGAGCACCATTTTCTTTTTTTTTCTAAAACCAACAAACCCTCCCTGGGAAGAAAATGCTGGGAGAGACTGTCTAAGTGGGGGCTTGTGAGCAAGTGGCCAGGCCCTTGGAGCAACAGCTGGTGCTGCAGCTTCTCTGCCTCGCCCCTGGCTCTTCCCAGGTTGCAGAAGCCGAGCGCCATTATTTTTTTTTAAACGGACAAAAGTTTTTCTGCGAAAAAGCGGGAGAGAAACCATCACCACCAGCTCTCCCTCACCATTGCAGCAGAAAGACTGCCACCTCCTGGCTTTGCCTCACCACTTCAGCCGCTGGCAGGGCACCAGCAGTAGTGGCTGCGGAGGGAGTCCAGAGGCAAAGTCCCACGAAAGAGGACAAGAGAGGCACCTTCCACCATCTTGAAGGTGGGGCGCTAAAGTGCTCCGACTTGCTCACCACAGAGCAACAGACCCAATCTCTGTGACTGGCAGATCAACTACTCAGGGACTGATCGTGACCCAGAGGGAATACCCTGAAAGCACAGACTTCGGAGGGACCTGATGAGTGCTGATTTCCAGGCGCCCCACCCTCTACCCTGATCCAGCCACCGGACAAAGGGTGTAGCGAGAAAAGGAGGAGGAAGAACTCCAAAGAGATCAGTGGTGAGTCTGGGGCTGACCCAAACTTCGTCCTCCGCAGCAATCCTCTGAACATCAGACCCACACAGCTGGGCCACAACTGAGAGGGACAAATCCAGGCGGAGCCTGGACATCAGTCGCAGTAGGAGAACTCCATTCCAGGACAAGCCTGGCTGGGGCACCCCCCATGAGTACATACCTGGGGAAGAGACAACCCCACACCTCCCTACCAAAGGAGATCTCCCTGACCATATGAGAGTGGGAGTGGAAGACTGCAGCCCCACCCACCTCCGCTGCCCCTCCTCCTTCCCTGCTCAGACACTGAATTTTAACCCTGAATTTTAACTTCTCATTATTGTTTTTGATGATCTAAATGAAATGGAGGACTTGCTGACATCACACAACCTCCCCAGGTTGAAACAAGAAGACACTGAGACACTAAATAGACCAATAACATCCAGGAAATCGACTCTGTCATACGAAAACTACCTACAAAAAAAAACCCCGGACCAGATGGCTTTCTAGCAGAATACTACAAAACATACAAGGACGGGCTGACACCAATCATATTGAAAATATTCCAGGCAATTGAGAAAGATGGAATTCTCCCCCAAATCATTTTACAAAGCTAATATCATACTGATACTCAAACCGGGTAAAGATCCAACAAAAAAAGAGAACTACAGGCCAATATCCCTTATGAACATAGATGTAAAAACCCTCAACAAGATTCTAGCAAATCAGATCCAAAAACCCATCTCAAAAATCATCCACCATGACCAAGTAGGCTTCACCCCTGGGATGCAGGGCTGGCTCAACATCCACAAGTCCATAAAATTAATTAAATACATCAACAGCTGTAAAAACAAGAACCACATGATTATATCATTACACGCAGAAAAAGCTTTTGATAAAATCCAGCATCCCTTCTTGATAAAAACCCTCAGACACCTAGGTATAGAAGAAACATACCTCAAAATAGTAAGTGCCATCTACTATAAATCTACAGCTAACATATTGCTAAATAGACAGAAACTGGAAACATTTCTCCTGAAAACTGGAACAAGACAAGGCTGCCCACTCTCACACCTTTTGTTCAACATTGTGTCAGAAGTCCTAGCTTGGGCAATTAGACAAGAGAAGGAAATCAGGGGAATCCAAATAGGAAAAGAGGAAGTCACGTTATCCCTCCTTGCTGATGGTATGATCCTATATCTTGAAAATCCAAGAGAATCTGTCAAAAACCTGTTTGCACTGATAAAGGAC